CGGTGTCTGATATAGAACTCACCCTCAACTGGAAATACACTTTTATGTCACTTCGTCCTATTCACAACCAATTAGCAAAGACACAAGGAAAGCAATTCACCAAAGATCTCAATGGATGATAAATGATTATTGTGTTGCCTGTCCTAAGAGGATGTCTTTCAAGGAAACTAGTCTTGAAAATTGGACAATACTTTTATTTCAAAAAGTAAATATTTTATTTTTAAGTTTTATTGGCATATAACTCATGTATCATACAGTTCGGTGGTTCAAACATATTAAAAAGAGTTGTACAATCATCTGCACAATCAGTTTGAGAACATTTTCTTCTCTCTTGGACTCATTATTATCAGTGCATTTCCCCCTCCCTCCAACCTCTGTGAACATACCCTACAAGAACCATCAATGCAATCACTGCCAAATAATATTCTAAACTGAAGTCATTAAGATGGCTGTGTTTCTTCAGGGTCCTCAAAGCCCCCGATGGCTCTATTTTATCTCACTCACTGCGATCGAGTTAATTCTGACTCACAGGGACCCTCTAGGCCAGGGTAGAACTGCCCCCATGGGTATCCAAGGCTGTAACTCTTTACAGGAGTAGAAAGCCTCGCCTTTCCAGCAGGGAGCTGCTGCTGGTTTCCAGTTGACGACTTTGAGGCTAGCAGCCCAGTGAGTATCCCACGACACCACCAGGGCTCCCTTTGTACAGCTGGCCATAGAGAGATGCCTGAAGAAGCCAGGAGCTGCATTATAGGCTGCCCAGTGAATCCCCGTGCGGTCAAAGAGGACTTTGTTCCTGGGGATAAAATTGGAGCCCTCTCCCCTCTCTCCACTGTAGAAAAGCTCCGCTGGTGTAGGGTGAAGGGGGAAAGGGGGGAGGTTGAAATCAGCCATTTAGCAGATGCCGTGAGTTGATTGAGGTCAGCCAGAGAGGAAGGGGAAGTGGTGTTTGGGGTCTGCTGTGTTCTGGCCAGCAATGTGCGTGCCTCTGTTAGACAAGCTGCTTTCTCCCCCTCTTCCTCGAACAGGCGGTCTCGTTGCTGGAAATGACGGTCAGCTGTTGCCCGCGCGTAGCCACGATCACATGTCCCGCCACCCACGCCGGAGCCCGGGAAGCCCGACCACAGACCAACCTCAGGGAGGCATGAATAATTAGGTAGGCATAATGGAAGGCACTCATTGCACCCTCCAATTGCATAAGCCCATTACGGAACTCTGCTACATCAGCTTCTATCTTCCAAGGGGGGAAGTCAGAGGATTTTCATACAAGGGCACTGTAACCCTAGACAAATCCAATAAAGCCTTTCATAGCTGCTACCAAGTCAGGGAGGGCTCAGACATCAGCAGCCTCCGGCAGCAGCCGGACGAATACCCAGGCGACATATTCTTCAAGCAGAGGCCCACGAAAGACATCCTCCGAGAGCTCTACAAGCTCACAGCGGAGAGGGACCGCCTGCTGGCCGGTCTGCTGAGCTCCGACCACATCCTGGGGGTCACGATGGGCAACCAGGAGGGGAAGCTGCCCGAGCTGTCCGTGAGCCTGGCACCAGAGGACGACTGTTTCCAGAGCGCTGGCACCTGGTGGGGAGATCCCCCCTTGGGCTCCCTCAACAAGAGGAGCACCCATGGGAGCAAGAGGCTCCGGAGGTCCGGCGGGAGGAGGGAGAGTTCCCAGGCACTCCCACAGCAAAGGGAAAGAAGACAAGAGCAAGGGGCCGGGGAAGCCGAGCCTCGGCTGGGGAAGGACCAGGTCCCCCTGAGCAGTTCCTTCCCCCCTTCTCCAGCAAGGCCTGATCTGCTGGAGGAAAGAGGGAACCTGAACCCAGGTGGAGCACTTCCCACTTCCCTGAGGAGGAGAGAGAGCTGCCCCCCAGGGCTCCCCTGGACATTGGACACAGACCCTGGGGCTGGGAGCTTTGGAGGCGCATCTGACCAGTGCACCAGCACAACCGAGGCAAGGAATGATGGTGTCCGGGGAGCACAGAGGCGGCCTCTCAGGGCGCAGCATCAGCAAACAGGGTGGCCGGAAAACCACAAGGACCCCGAGAAGCGTCCAGAGACCGAGAGGGGCCGGAGGGAGAGGCCAGCCAAGCAGACAAGCAGGAGGAAGCCCGTTTCCAAAGCGGTGGCCAGAGTCCAGGACGTGCCCGCTCAAGTGCAAAGAGTTGTTCAGACGTATCCCGCGGGTGAGGGAAGGATCGCGGTTGGTCCTGAAGCCCCCGCCAAGTTTAGACCCAACATGGACTTGCTCACCTTCCCCCCAGGCTCTGGGGCTGGAGCTCCGAGCTGTGCCAGGGTGTGGGGCAAAGAGCAGCAAGGGGACCAGTCCTGGGCCGGATTCAGAGCCTTCACTGCTGGCACTTCAGCCATTGCGGGTGCGGAGGGCGCTGTCAACAAGGCCCTCCTGAAGGTGATAGAGAGTGAGAAGTTAGACGAGACCACTGAAGGCAAAAGGCTGGGCTTCCCGATCAGTTCGAGGACTTCCCACACCCTCCCACAGAGCCACAGCAGCAGGAGGAACATGGGCTTGCCGCTGAGTGGCCACAAGACCTTGTTCCTGGATCAGCCCCCTAAGGTAGGCCTGGACTCCTCACAGCCCAGAGGGGAGGAGAAGAGGCCATCGCCCCCAGCACCGGCAGCTCAGGGCATGGTGTTTAATAATTCATCCCTGCAGTCCCAGTCCAGCACACACCAACGGGTGCCACCTGTCCCCTCCCCTCCATCTCCAAAGCTCCCCAGCACTCAGCCACATCACAGGATCCTCCGGCTCCTGTCACCGCCCGGTGAGAAGGAAGCTGCTCTTCGGGACTCTCCTGCTAGAAAGAGCGGGGCCATCTCTGGGTCCCTCGCTGCTAGCACCTTGGAGCCATCATCCTTGAAGGAGGTCACGGAGACCACAGGAGCCAGCTCAGCCTCCCTCGGAGCAAGCCAACCTCAGTTGGTCCCTGGGCAGTCTTTGGAAAAGAGCCTGGGGCCAGAGACGACCACCGTTGGACTCCAGCCCCACTCACCTCCAGGTCAGTGCCTGCTTACAGTGTTTTACATCAATTCTTGGGCAAGACTTAGCAGCCTGTTTATGTTACTCAGAGACTGGCTAAGAAGCAACGGACCCAAATCCTCGGGGTCTATAGGTCCTTTCACCTTGTAACGACTGGGAATGCCACAGGGGAGTGGAAGGATGGTGTCCATGAGGCTGCCTTTAGAGGCCGAAAGGGTCATTGCTTCCAGCAACCATACTTTTTAAAAGTTCTCCCCGCCCCCACCCCCGCCTCTTTTTTGGGGGCACGCTGTAAAGCCGCCTCCTGGGTTACTTAAAACAGGTCTCCCAAAGAAAACAGAAACAGGCAGGGAGAAGTAGTGACCTGCCACTGCCTTTGATGCTAACACTGGGTAATTGGCCCATTGACCTAATTCTTCAGCCGCGTGCGCTGCCAGTGTAGGTCCGGGGTTTGCTGAGATACTGTGAGCAGAAGAGCAAAAGCCCAGGGCATCGTGCCTTTGCTCGGGCATCCGTCTCCAGTTGGAGGGTTTGCTGTTATTTATTTTGAATGGTTACCTCTATAAGCTCCATCATTTTATGGCAGAGGCATTTTTATAAAGGACAAAAAGCAACCACAACAGAAGAGAAATGATGAATTCCATCTACTTTGGAGAAGCGTCGTTCACATTGTTTGGAAACTCCTATTTCACTCCTGAAACAAGCATGGCGTATCTGTATATTTCAAAATTCTATGTTATTTATAGGCATCCACTGCTACTGGTAGAGCTTAGCTTCTTAAATCAAAAGATGCTACAGAACTAATCTGGATTGTGTTCTTAATGTGATTGGAAATTTTCCATGAAAGTAATTGTGTGGGCTCAGTATGTATTCCAAAAGATAGTATGTAAGAAGTGCCAGCCCTACAGTCATTACTGGTCCCGTCCACGCTGATGTGGCTCCATGCTTGCGTTTTTATGCACTCTTGTGTAGGCAATATGCTCTTTTTTAGTGATCCTTTTCCAGCATGTGGCTAATGCTCTATCAAGGGGATCATTTATAATAAGACAGGGAATCGGTTAAAAGTTACGGAGACTTTGTCTCACGGAGTGTAGACACCTTACTGGGAAGGGCCAGTCACTAGAGAAGGCCGTCATGCTTGGTGAAGAGTCAACAAAAGAGCAGACCCTCCACACGATGGTCTGACACAGCGGCTGAACTCGTGGGTTTCGCGCATCACAGTGACTGTGAGCCTGGCACAGGCCAGGGCAGTGTTTCATTCTGTTGTACAAGAGGTCCCCGTAAGTCAGAAGCCACTCCGTGGCATCAAACAATAACACCCACAAAGCTTAAGGGGAACACCATGCCTTCGCTGTAAGATAAAAACCACCTGGCTAGGAAAGAGGAGCCTTTCCAGCCCCCGTGTGCATGTTCAACCCTTGACATTTAATGAGCTTCTCTAGATTTTACGATCCAGGGTGTGGCTCCTTAGAAATGCCATAAATGCTTTCCATCTATCTTACTTTAGTAAGAGTTGATCCTTTCAATAGCCAATGCGCCTCACAAATTTGTGGGTTTAATATCATATATCACAGAACTCTGGTGACAAAAAAAACCAAACAAACATTTTTCTTTATGGCTGTTGGAAACTTGGAAAAGAATATCTCCAGAATGATTATGTGAGACACTTCTGGAAGCATCATTTTGGAATAGCCCATGCCTTAACTCCAGGGGGCTCTTTTGAGAAATCACATCAAATTCTAGGATTGAGTGAGCCCCTCCTCCTGAAACCTGGTTTTAAGCACATGGATCTCTAATGAATCTTTTCCCCCCAACTAGTTTATTGATATAAAATTCACATACCATACACTTCCCTAGGCAAGTCGTTTTTAAAAAAAGATCCCAATCAGTTCTAATGTATCCTCCCCCTTCCAACTTTCATTATTTGCTCCCCAATTCCCCTCATGCTCCCCTCCCCATAAACCATTGCATCAGTTTTTGACTCTGCGTCCACACCTTCTGTGTTAAAAGTATGCAACGTTTCATGAATTTGCGTGTCATCCTTGCACTGGGACCACGCTAATCTTCTCCGTATCCTTCCAATTTTAGTGTATGTGCTGCTGAAGCGACGTTCCAATGCCATCTTTTATTCTCTTATTTCTTACTCAAAAACTCGCTGTCAACAGGTCGATTTGGACTCAAAGTGACCTTGTAGGGCAGGATATAACTGCAGCTGTGGGTTTCCAAGACGGTACCCCTTTACAGGAGTAGAAAGCCTAGTCTTTCTAAAGAAAGACTGGTTGTCTTTGACAGAGTGGCTGGTGGTTTTGAACTGCTAACCTTGTGGTTAGCAGCCCAACATGTAACCACTAGAGCAGCAGGGCTCCTTCTCTGATGTAAGGTTTTCTTCTTATTTTTTCTCTCCTATGTCTACCTATGTAAATAATTATAAAAGCTCCATTGTTTCTGGGTCAAGGCAGGGGCATGGAGCACACTGGGTTTCTCTTGGTGGTTGGCCCTGAGCCCATGAGGGATAACTTCAAAGGATGATCTCACTTTCCCTTGGCTTCTCCAGACACTGTTCCATAATCATTCCCTCTAGTCTAGCCTCCACTTTTCATAAGGATCTTTCAGGAGCCAGTTAGAAAAACCATCTGGATCCTTTGACAGGGGGCCCTTCATGCTTCTAACCTTACAAAAGCAGAGGCTGCAAAAGTAAAGAGAGTAAGTGGGAAAGACCTGAATTTCTGTAAGTAGAGACTTTCTGCCAGAGCACCAATAACTCTCTTATTGGCCCTTCTTTGAGAGGCATGAGCAATGGAGGGACCAGAAAATGTCTTTGATTGGTATCCAATCATCTGTGTCCTGTATTCTTGCCCCTTTCCTCCTTGTAATTCCCCTTTTCTATTGCGGTGGGAAAAGGCCAAACCAAACCCAAGCCCACTGCCATCAAGGTAAATTCTGACTCTGTAGAACAGCATGAAAATGTCCCATAGGGTTTCCCAGGCAATAAATCTTTAACACAGCCGAAGACCCCATCGTTCTCCTGCAGAACAACTGGTGGTTTGAAGTGCTGACCTTTCAGTTCGCAGCCAGACACTTAGCTCTTAGGCCAATAAGGCTCCTTCTATAGCCTTGAGTCTGCTTTATATCGTAGGCCCTTCAATAACTTCTTGCAACTCCTGGCATTTGCCTAATTCCAACGACTTTTGCTTTCGCATTATTTTTTCTCCCAGTGAACTCCAGAGGAGGGCTCCGACAGTTCCCAGAGGCCCCATCGGCAGGACACACTTCATTTACCTTTGCCGTACCCTGGCCCTTTATTTGAATCCAACTTCTACCTTCTCCTATGTTAACTATTAGCCAGATTGAGTTTATGGCCTGTGGACATTTATTTCCTGTGGAAATAGCATGCAGGTCTTTTATTGAAGTGTTGCGATTAAGATTATCAAAAGGTCCCATTAACTGCTCAGGTAAGAGATGAAGTCTGGCAAAAGCAATCAGATCCCTTCCAGTTGGAAGGCTCTTTAGTGTTTATGGGCAAGTAGTAATTCCCCCAGAAAGAGGGGTATCTGCTTGTCCTTCTCACAGGACCGTGCAGGTAAAGCCAGCACTACCTCCCACACAAAGAAGAACCAGCATCAAGGCATCACAGTGGGTTTGGGCTCACACACAGTTGGCTTTGCGATTTCCCCAACTCTTCATTTTAAGGTCCGTGCACAGGGAGGCGTGTTCTGGTAGGATCAAACAGATAACATGCTAGCAGTGAATGACGACCAGGGTTGTCCTTTGGAGGGGTGATATTTCTCCCTCTAGACTTGGAATGGGGTTTATGGCATTGTGTGGTTATGATAAGCCTCCTTGAGAATGTTCCTGCAACGTTGTGGGATGTGATTGTTGCTCACGCTTGCAGGGACTCTAGGAGATGTGCCCATCTTTATAGCAGTAGTTTTGGGGCTTGGTGCTGACATTGCCTCCCATGTTGCTGGCTTTTGTTTCCCTTTGATCTGAAGAGACCCTCTGAGGCCAGAGTAGTCACATGGAAAATGCTCCATGCATTACTGTGCTCCTGAACAATCTCATGATCATCTGCCTTGGCCGGAAGTCACTGCAGGGGGGGAGATGGGAGTTTTGCCCCAGGCATACTTTCAGAGAGTGTGAATCATTTGATCCGTTCTTGTGCCCATCAAAAGATGTAGTTAAATGTCAGCTGATTAAGGGTTGATATGGCATGCATGTAATATGTTTTATTGCATCTAGTACTACTATAAAAACTTGGATTTCTCTTGGGGCATAGATCATAAAGAGTAGATACAAATCTTTCCCACATTAATATAGAGGTTTTTTGCAATTCTAGTAGAAATTTAAAGCTTCATAGCATTAAGGAATCTATGCAGCCATTTAGGATTATTACAGATAGTACGCCAAAAAGTATCTGTAGTTAGAGTTTAGATAGAAAACACTATTAAAAATTGCATTCCCCATATTATACCCAGATAAAATAAAAATAGGAGCTAAATTGACAGGTAAATGCATTACTATGTACTCTTGAGAAAATAATGAAATTATAATGAATTTAGAAGTTTCACTTTTCAGAATTCAGTACACACACCAGTAATAATGTGCACCAGGGTGTTTACTATAGCATTGTTTATATTGGTAAAAATAGCTGGAAACAATTTGTCTATCAGGAGAGAAATGATTAAATAAATAATTGTATATTTACTCTGCAATAGTATCGCTCACTCAATATATGCCATCCATTCAATTCCGATTCATCGTGCCCCTATCGAGCAGAGTAGAACTGCCCCTGTGGATTTCCAAGACTGTAACTGGTTTTGGGAGTAGAAAGCTTCATTTGTCTCCTATGAAGTGGCTGGTAGTTTTGAACTGCAGACCTTGCAGTTGGCAGGGCAACAGGTAACCACCACACCACTGAAGTATTGAGCTAAATTTTTGTATTATATTTCAAACTCATATGTAGTCTGTCTTTGCTCCCTGATAGGTGCCACTTCTCCTGTCATTAAGCTACCCTTTCTGTCCATCATGGGTATATATATATATATATATATATATATATATATATGTATTCATGCATATGTTGATTGCATATGTATTTATATATACATGTATAAGTATAATTGGGGGGAAAGAATGGGGTTGAATATCAAGGTGATAGGTATGGGAACAGACCAGTCTGGGTTCTAAATATTCATTATCCAGGTCCAGGAAGCACTGACAATACAAAGAAGCCCTCCCCTCCCCCCCCAAGACCACAGAATTTCTGCCAAGAGAAATGGAGGTTGCTAGACCTGTAAATGTATCTGCAAGTGGGGGTAATAAATATCCTGATGTCCACTCTCCTTTGACCTTCTGTCTGCAAACACTTTTTGAAGGAATGAGCCAAGAGGCAGAGTGTAAGGAAGGAGGTGATTTCCATTTACATAGGACAGCCTCCCGAGGCCCAAAGTAGGGTTGGAAGGGTAAAAGGAAGATGAGATGGTGCAGAAACCCGGAGGAGCTTGACGACCTGAGTGGTTTCTGTTATAGGAGGCCCAGTAGACACAGCTGGTGAGGAAGCAGAAGTGGAATATGACTCTTTCCCTCCCCCCACCAATTAATTTGTGGATGATGTAGAAAGGCATGAGAGTAAGGCAAAAAGTATTACTAGAAAACAAAGGAATAATTATTTTTAAAGGTTTATGAAATAAATATATACATAAATGTGAAGCGATCGTTTCTCAGCATACCCAACATCTAGGCCAGACACCCAGAAGGTGATATCTCCAACTCTTACCCTTCGATTGATACCACATCGGAAGAATTCTGTGCCTTCAATTTACGGGCAATTTAAGGGCAGTTGGGGCATCACTGAGGGAATCAAGCTGTGTTCCTTTTCAATGTTTTTTGAATTTTGGAAGCACAAAGAAGCCTGAAGAGTCAAGATCCAGGGATACAGTATGCAGAGTAAAGGTTCTCAATGGAGTCCTCACAGAACAGGGCTGGCTGCTCTGGAAGACTGAGCAGGTGTATTGTTATGATGGGTCAAAGAATTCCTCGGTGCACGTTTCTTGGCCTTTTTCTCATCAATGCAGTTATCAGTTTTCTTAAATTTTCATATATTAAGTCCTGTTATCATCCAGTGTCCTTTGAGAAAGCCTATCAAGAGTGCCACTTTTCAATAAAAAGCAAAAGCAAAATAAAACAACATTCACCATAACCTGACCAGAGAGGCTGACCTCTCTGGCCTGAATTACCTGGCTAGTGCATCCCCTTAGAAGTCATTTTTTTGATTGGGCCTTTTGTTGATAGACTAACACGTCTAAGAAGAGTTTGTCTGCAGCCATCCACTATTCATAGAGACATACATCTTGTTAGGAATAAACATGTATTTGTATGAGTTGAAACCCTAGTAGCAATTCTTTTTGGCTAGCTCTAATATGCCTGAATCCTTATGGTGACCTAATTTCAAGTTCTTTACAATAAGCTCAAAGCAACTGGTTCAGTGTACAAGAGTAATCTGTACCTCTCCCCAAAACTTCTAGCACTGTCTATGAGCATGAAAAATATCCATGACTCATTGTGATAGGAAGCTGAGGTGCCAAGGTCAAAAGAAGAACTCTAGAGAGATCATGTGGTTTCATACCACCACCCAGGAGCCACTGCATATGCATTACACGTGATACTGTTCCCATTTGGGACTAATGTAAACCGAGTGACTGTCATTATCTGTGATCAGAAAGTGGATGAAGTGAGATAAACAATAGCAGTCATTTACCTGATAGCGTCTTTCAAGAGGAAGAGCCCAAGGCTAGATAGAGTCTCTAAAAAGCCTCTCATAAAAGGGTCAATGAGGAATACAATGAAATACACACGTTGACTATTTGGGAACTTTGTCAGTGTGTTAAAACGCATGTAATCCAGTTGCAGTCTAAAAATGGTCTTTTTGAAATGCCCCCACCAATGATACTATGAGACAGTGATGGCACTGTGCAGACAAGTGCATACAGTTTTCTTTTTTTTTTAAATCGTTTTATTAGGGGCTCATACAGTTTTCTTGAAAATGTAATAGTGATTTAGACCAACTGGGTTTCGCTTTTACAGTTTGCAATGGCTACGTCTATTAATC